CTTGTATTGCTGCAAGAGGTGCACATTTCGAACAAAATCTTCATTAAAAAGTTTATAAATAAAATAATTAAAATAATAAATTAAATATATTTTTTTCTTTTTTCGTGATTTCCTGCGAAACAAAGCAAAAAGGAGCATATGTCTATAGGACTTTTTTTCTTAGTTTTTTACTCCTCTACACGCTCCCGAAGTTTTGCCATTTAATTTGGAAACACCCTGTATATTTAACTCTGATATCTCTCATCTGATTAGATATATCACAACGAATAAAAATAAGTTGAATCAAAAGCAGGTTTACCTGAGATACATCCTCGGTTGTACCACATTGTCGACAATCGTTTGGCTGTCCACGATCCATCCGCTTAAATCGATCGCGATGGTCTTTCCCTGCAGCTCGTACAGTGGTTTTTTCTCACATAAAGGCGATAAAACGTTCCACAGATCTTTGACGCCCATTTCGTACCAGATATAGAATTCAATTCAAATTAAATCCTTCAGGACGCTTTCACAACGTAAACAACGTAAATCTTCACCGTGCCGCCATCTTCTGTAACAGTGATAAACGAGACGCGTAAAACGTATTTTTACTCGTAACTGATAATAGAGTGACTTATCTATGTGGATTACATGTCGTTTAAAATTATAAATTCTAGCTAAATCCAGTTTTTTTACATTTTTTTTTTTTATACGACATCTTACGCAATCTTTTATCCTGATGCCGTGTAAATTAATGTATATAATAGTCTATATATTTCTGTTTTGCTGTTCACCATCAGCTAATAATTCCACCTTGATTCATGCAGTTCATATAATTTCACGCAAATCCGATCTCCTGTAAAGTGTAAACAGAGATGTAAACATATCGAACTATTTCGAAGGTTTTGAAGTAGCTGATGACAACAGCTTCAAATGAATGAACATTGGAAGAGTATGAAGATAAAAAAATAAAGATTGTGAATAAGAAAATAATATTTTAATAAGAGTCTTTGGATTTGTGCATTGAAGTATTTAGCCAGCGAGAAACCTGAGAGCGGCCATCCCGGCCTTTTTCCTGTAATGCTTCTAACTCCCCGTATACTAACGACACCAACATCCATTTTCGAGCTACGGGAACTACGTACCACGTCCATTTTCGAGACCCCCCCCC